GTGCAGTTAATATTTTTCTAATGTTTAATTGTTGTTGTATTATTTCGTTTAAAAAACAACGTTATCAACTACAATATAGTGAATCGTTATTTTTATTTTTTATTTTTTCTATTTCAATCAATTTGGTTTGAATTATTATTACAATCATGACGTTATTGACTAAACAATGAGAACGTTTAAAACTCGCGTGACACAATATCAAAAACAGTTGTTTTGAATCCTAACTCAATACCTTAATTGCACTCTTACTATTTATTACTAGACGTAGTTCTTTTTTTGATTTAACATTTATATTTTTATTCCCGTACAACCACAATGCGAACTAATGAGGCATACCTATTAGTTAAAATGTCTATAAAAATGTTGATGTTTGATATTATGAATAAGTGTTATTTTTAAACACAGTTTATATGAACTATAAAATTAAATTGTTCCTTTCAAAATTATAACTCGTAATTGCTGAAGAGTACATCTGAAAAAAAAATGAAGCTCCAATGATATTTGAAATGTGAAACATGTAATTTGTATTTCTTTTGAATTTATAAATGAAAAAAAAAATCCACCTTTTATTTTGTAAGTTTTTTTCTAATAACTACCTAGTAAGCGAGATAAAAATATCCGTTTAATGCACATCAGTAATTTTTAAAAACTATAATATAGAGATATATCGATTCCAACCTCCGTGTATAGATAGACCTTACTTAACGTCATCGTTTCTTTAATTGGCCATTTCTACTGGTCTAAAAATACATACACATCGATCGAATTCGTGGAATACCAAACGAAACGTTTGGTTGCCAAAACGATATCGGCGGCAACGGCTAACTTAATAATAATATATACGACAATAAATACAATGTAACGTCGCACATCGCAATTATTATTAGTCTATTCGAGTTTATTCTTATTTTTTTTATTTTTAAAAACTGCTCGATAAAAACGCTCTCATTATAGACTGTTCCTCGACGACCTGAGTACAATGTCAGACTGGTGGATGTAGAGGTGACGCCGTTGTGAATATTTCCGATAAAAGCAATAATTTACAAACGTTTCTCCGGGCGACAAAACCTAAACGTATATATATATAGTCAACGTTGCGTATACGCGTGTCGGAGAGATAGGAAAAATCGGCTGTCAAAGAGAAAATGACAACGGAATCCAATCCACACGATAATGGATTGCATTTGTTTGCGGCACGAATCGGTATATAAATATATTATAGGTCTGGAGAGAGAGGTATCACGGAGAAGAGCGTTTCGCTGTATGGCGCTCGTATTATTATTATTTTCTATCTCTTTTTTTCTTTTTTATACACACACAAACATTTCACGATTATATCTCGTTCAACTCGTTTCTTTACGTCTCAACGAAATCCATAGATTTGGTGCCTTACGGGTTTTATTTAATTCCTACTACAGCTTTATCGCTTGCACCAATGGCTATAGTTTAAGTGCATTATATAATATTATACATTTATACCACGGTTTAAACCGTGATTTATACGATTACTCGAAAACGTATAAATGATTATTATAAAAATAATATAGTCATTACATTAACCGTACTGAATCATGTTCCATAATGACTGTACTACGGTTTACTTTAATAACAAGACATGATTATTTTTTCAGGAATAGCATTTTGGTGTTGATTTTTCTCATTTGGAAAAAACAAATTGTGTTTCAGAAGCAAAATTAAAATCCGACATTTTTACAAAATATTCAAATGCATTAATATTCTTTAAATATTAAAAGTTTATTTTAAAGTTCTTAATTTTTTTTTTATTATTTTAACAGACAGTCATAAACTATTAATTTTATAATCTAGAAAATATATTAATGTATAGAATATTGAATTGAAATATTTTAATTTAAAACCATTATACATGTAGATGAAATGAACTGTAGATGAAGTGTATTGAAAATTATGTTCATTGAAACTCTAAATAGTTATAATTTTATAAATAAACAAATAATATTGACTCAATTATTCTGCTTTAGACGGAGTATGAATAAACAATATATATAAATATATACAAATAATTTTAAAATTCATAAAATTTTAAAAGATCAGGTTTTTTAGAAAAATATAGTTATTTTTGCACAAAATATTTATGAAAAAATATATATTTTATTAAAAATCTGAAATATAATTTATCTAGACGAAAACTGTGTTATAACCTAACCTGTATAAAACAATAAAACAGTAATGTATTACTTCGTAAATTTTATAAATTGATTTGTCTTCCTTCATTTCATTCATACAAGTCTACAGCCATTTGTGTTTTGTTTGTTTTTTACTTATCGTTCTGCACACTCGTCGTTTTTTCACATATTAAGCTTTTTTTTATTCGATGTCCATCACAACGGTTATTCAATTCTCGTCCATTAATTAGAGAAACGGTTCTACGCACCAAAAGTTTAGGGTTTAAAAGAGCTGCGCTTCTCGTGAAGAGTAAAGAAAACCTTCGGATGTTTCCCCGGGGAACATCAAACAAGACCGTTTTTCCAACTGATATTTGTTTTTGCTTCTATAACCTTACCCCCACCACCTACAACCACCATAACTAGTACCACAACCGACTGACGTCGTCTTCGATCACTTCGTGCCGCCCTCGTAGCTACCACCACGGGAAAAACCCCTTATTTTCACTCAATTCCAGTGTGTTTAAAGAAAACTGCTTCCGGCCGTTTGTTTTGCGCTTCAATAAGCCCCTTATATTCCGTCACGCACGTGTTGACCGACCGAATAGTGTGCTTCACTTCACCAACCCCCTCCCGGACACTACTTTTGGCTGCCATCAAACGTTTTTGTCAAATTCAAACACGCGTGCGAATTAAAGAGCTGTAGGAGGATTGAATTGTACTGTAAATAATAATATTATTATATTATTGTATGGTCGACGACGGATCGTAAGAGGCGTGTGGTGGGCCCCATAATAAATATTGTATGATATCACGTATACGCCACTCGACGCGATTGTGTCACGACGACGATAATAATATAATACACAGTTATATCGTTGGGTTGTCCAGTCTCCTCGGTTAAGCGCATTCGCGATAAAACCGTTCGCGAACGACTGCTGACGATGTATTATGTTATTATTGTCACTATATTTTATAGCGGTTCGGAGGGTAGGTAGCACGGTCGCATAGCGTAGGAAACGCAATGCAGCGACCCGGCAGCTGAATACGTCATTATGCGGACGGATCCGTTCGCGACACAACTGCGACGCACCACGCTGTCGTCACGCGATTTGGTTCCGGTATTTTATGTGCCGGAACAGATTGTAATTATTAACAAACGGGGCCGCCCGATAACAGTCAATCGCGACGTGTTCAACGATGTGTTTGTGTGTACCAAAATCGTAGATTATACATTTTGAAAAAATGAGACGCATGCGGATCAGCCAAGTCGGCCGGAAGTAATGGGTCGATAACGTGTTTCGATAGTTAAATCGATGTGTAATTCGATCGTAGTAAAGTACCGAAGACCAAAATATTATTACTCCGCGCTGGTGTGACGTGAACATTAAACGATTTTAATGCGATTCGGTCGGGTATAATTATATATTACACACCTACAGCCCAATCTCGGAATACTGGTATGTATAAAAAAAAAATACCTAATGGATTTTAAATACCGGCTATTAAAGTTAATTAACTATCTAATTAATAGTACGGTGATCAGATAGCCACAAACAAATAACCATACATATTACATATTATATTTAAATACACGTTTCGGATGTATGCGAGACAATTTTCTCAAAGTCCTGTGTTTTTTATTGATCACATCACTGATCAACCTCAACAATTCCGCAAACGTATTATTGTATTAAAAGAAAAACAATTTTCAATAAGCTATTGTTTTCTCCAAAACTTTTGAAACAATATTGAATCAACTAAATCGTTAGAATTTCGGATTTTACGTATATTTTTCCCCTCGGGGCGTTTGCTTTTTGATTAATGATGCCATCAAGCCGCACAATATAAACGTGTGTGTGCTTAAAACCATATTCTATAATAAGAACGGGGACTATTAAAGATGACCGATCTCATTTGAAGTTTCGTCTGTTTCTAACATGCACTCGGTCAAGATGTTTTTACCGTTTTCTTCTTATATTATTATGTTTGCACTTACAGAAAGTTCAATGTTCTCAGTAAGATTATAATAATGTTTTGCTCTTGAAAATAATTACCTTGTACCTAAACTATTAAGATGGCTATATTTTAAATCACCGTAATAAAAACCTTACGTTAGACGGTTAAACTAATAATATAAAATGTAATTTTATATAATTGATATTTTATAAAAAAACATATCTTTGAATAATATGCAATATATAATGTTATCTCTTTACACTTTACACGCAGCAATAGTTTTAACATTTTAATGTATACAAAGTTGTGTATGTTATAAATTAAATTATCTAACATTTAACTTTTGAGAAGCATACATTTAAAATATTCTTTTTGCCCTTTGCTTAAAATAAAACTGAAGTAAGAAACAACCGATTTATTTATGTAAAATTTATTTAATACTTTTAAATAATTATTACTGATTGATTTTCTTAAACTTAGCAATTTATCAATAATTAAATTTTTTCTAAAATATCTATCTATTATAAGTTATAACATAATGTATAATAATATAATCGTAATATAATATGTTATTCTACTAATTCTATGAAAATACATCAAAAATTCGTGGCAAACTCAAGAGGATGAATTGATGAAATATAATGTTATTTATCAGATAGTTGGAAATTGCGAAAACATTGTGTAAGTCTATACTAGTAAATTTCCTAAAAATGAAAATTTTGATTCTTAAATCATTTATTATTATTTAAGATAAATTAAATCATCTTTTATTAGTTTCCATTTTAATTTTTTATTTTATTTCTGATTTCGTTGATTTAATATGTGAATTGAATTTTGGCAATCTCTGCAGGTGGTATAGATTCTACAATAACATGACTGATTCATTGGTGTACTTACATGTAACGATCAGGTTGGCTTTTCTACTGACAGCTTCACCGAACTCATTTTCGGCGATGCACCAGTACGTTCCAGAGTCAGAGTCACGCTTGCCCTGCGATGCCTCCAGGAACAATAGAGACCCTTCCGGTAATAAGGCCTTTCGGACGCTACTGGTCAAGTCTATTGGACGTCCGTCTCGGTACCACCGGACTTCTGGTTGCGGCTGACCATCAGACTTGCAGTTTAGCGTGGCCGGTTCATGCAGTGCGACCGTCATATCGGTGGGATGTTCTATGATTCGCGGAGCTCGTCCACATAGAACGACTGTGAAAAAACAAACGAAAAAACATCAATAAGTATGAAAATTCTGTAATTTTATGCGTGTGCCAATAATATCATTATTATTCGTACGGCATCATCGTTATCGTTACGTCTATAATAGCATTGTAACACGCACGTGTGGTGTACGTTATTGGTAAAGTTTAACCGCTCCAAAAAGGCCGCAGCTTCCACGGATGTTTTCCGAAGAGAAAATATCGCGGAAAACCGCGTCCTCGAGTCATAAAATCAATAGCGGAAACTCTCAACGTCTGGCTCGAGGGTGTGCGTATATGGTTGTGCTGCCGTGAATGTTAATACACGCGTAGCGTGCGAAGATCATAAAATAATATAATAATTTATTAAACAATATTCTATGCTTATAATCACGACCGATGATCGTTGCACATTTATATTGTATAATAGTAAAATATGTTTAGATAATGGACGACTACACGTGGGATGGAAATCATTAGTAGCCACGACATTGATGAAAAGTGAACGAATTTGTGTGTTCGTGTTTGTGTGTGTTTAACGCACGTGCCGGTCTGCTGTACAATATTTGTTTGCTTTATTTTAATTATGTATATATTATATTCCACCGATAAGGCCGAGGGATGAATTTAGGATTAAAAAAATTCAAAACGTTCATTTATGACGGTTGACTATCCTTCAAACTGTATGACGTAAAAAGCGTACACATAATACAATATGATATCAATATGATATATTATGCATTACATAGTTATTATTCCGATTGTGGTCTGTTTGGTTTGATTAAAAATAACTTCAGCGGCGATGAGCAGATCGTGTGACACACGTACTAGTGTTGACACCATGACGTACGTATACACACGGTGAAATACTTGTAAAAAACAAAAACGGTCAAACCATTTTAGTTCTGACATTTTTTTTTTTTTTCATTTACGCGGCGAACGTAATAATATTTCACGTCTAAGAAGGGTGTGTGGTGGGTGGTGGTAGCATTCGTGTTTTGCTTCACCGGTCAAGTGGCAATATCATATACACATAAATGTATAGAGTGGCGCTCGTGATATAGAACTAAACATTAAATATATATAAGCACGTGCAACATAATATAGAATATATATATTTTTATTTATTTGTATACATAATATACGCTTCCGAAGCTCATCGCTGGTACAGTGCAGCCAGCGGGCACGTTTTAAATTAACATCGCTCCCCCCCGTCGCCGACGGCTTTCATTGTCGTCGTGGTTATTACTATTATTATTATTATTATTATTATTATAAATGTTGTTGTTGTTATAATGTACCGTGCAGAGTACGTACATGCTGTAGTGGATCGCAAGCACCCGTACGCGGGTATACATAATATAATATCCCACTAGAACGTCTTTTGTCACGGCTAGAGGGACGGTAAAGTGGGGGGAGCAAAAAAAAAATGTCGCCCATGCTAGATGTGCCGGAGGTGAGGACTGATGACGATTGCGACGAGCAGAGTGCATTTCGAAACGTCCCGCGGCAGGGAACACATGAATTTGCAATCGTGGAAAGTTACATTATAAAACAACATACAACCGACGACGAGTATTATACACACACACACACACAGCATCAGTGTCTTCGCATCATTTGCGCAAGTGCTTTTCTCCTCTGTTTAAGTATTTTTATTTTTTTCCCCAGCCACCGACGAAACGTATACACAAATAAAGAGTTGTCGCACACGTTTTGATGATATAGTGCAGCAGTGTTACCGTATATTATTGTGTCACGAAAGGGAGTAAAAGAGAACGAAGAGACAAAAATATGAATGAAATATTTAAACCAAGTTACGGAAAATATATTTTTTATTCATATTATAACGATCCGTCGTTGGTAGAGTTTACGAGTACATATTATGTTCACATATAATACAGTTTAGCATTGACGTCGTTTGTAGGTCAAAATAACGAGTTGTTGACACACACGTGGTAATAAATGTTTATCACTGACAAATTGTACAAGCCGATTGAAGTAAAACTAGTGATAACGAAAGAAAAATCTAATTCAACTATAATATCTGATCACTTTGATCGCTAAAAACTTTGCACATTATTTACAGTTTTGCAAATGTTTTATTGGACATACTTCTGTAAAAGTCCGATAAAACTTTTTTTAAATATATATGTATATATTGAAAAAATGCATTTAGAAAAATACTGTTTACCGGTGATTTAAAAATATTTCCAATACAATTAGTTATACGATGTTATAATTCGATTTAAGTTTTCGAGATGATGTATTCAGATTTAAAATTTTGGTACCGGTACATAAACAACAAAGTTCAACAATCATCCAATTACTAATTTGATGAAAGAAATGATTGTAAAAAAAGTTTCACTGTATCCCTGTATAATTCAAAGGTATATTACATATGACTACTGTAGTCGAATTTTATAAAATGCGTGCGGAAAAATAATATATTATAGTTAAATGTAAATTAAAATAAATGCAAACGTGAATAAATAGTATAAAAAAAAAAGTAATGTGGCTAATGATTTTTTTTTTTTTTACAAAACGCATACAAGCGGAGAAAAAAGTGTATTTTTTTGTAGGCAATCTGTATGTTTTTACAACATATTTATAAAGCGTGTTATTTCTTTTATTATTATGGGTAGTTTTTTTGGAAAAACGACGTTTTGAAATCGGGTCACCAATAATGGAAAGATCAGATAAACGAAAGAGGGAGTATTAAAAGAATAATAATAGTAATAATAATAATGGAAAAGAGCGATGAAAGGCGAAAAATATTAATTATGTACTTGTCGTCGCCGAGAAGTTGACAGCCGTCGGTGGCTTTTAACCGATTAAATATTTCACGGACTCACGGTTCTTGAAGACATCGGCTGAGCGTTGAGGGAATGTATAGACGTCGCCGTCAGAGAAAAGAGCGAACTCTCTGGAGCTTGGGGTCGGGCCCTTCAGTTTAATAAAATGTACACATTTTAGACAACTCCTGGGCCGATGAGTAGATACTAATTCGAAATCAGAAGTCTCGGATAAACCTCTTACTCGCTCGACCGGCATCCACAATATATTTTGAATAGCTGCTGTTATTTTAATAAAACCAAAGTGTGGATGAAAAGTCAAGATTTATCTCAAATCTCGAATAAACGACACGACACTCTTCTGCAGTTTTGCAGTGTATTATAAAATGTATTCGTTTTTATTACAAAATCGTATAGTTTTTAGTAAACGAGTAAAAATATCATTACTATTATAATTATAAATCTTTTAATATACTTGCGTTAACAGCAGTATTTGATATTTTCAATTTCATTTATGTACGCGGTATTCTGAATAAAAATTATATGTATCACGCAAATAATGTGACTGAACTTAAAGACGTATTATAATTTATAAAAAATATATTAATCATTGTTCATTGTATGGGTGTTATTGAGGTATGTGTGTATAATAGCAAACTTGCCCTTACTATTCTGTGATAGATTACTGCTTTAAGTAAGTAAAAAGTTTATTGATCTCATATTGTACCAACTTAGAAAAATCTAAATTAATTAAAAACAAATATTTTAAAAAGTATATGAAGTAAGTTGTATTAATACAAATCTAAATAATTACATATTTCAGTGTGGTAAATAAAAAATAATAATAATGGTGATGAAAAAGAATAAAATAATGTTTGAAAAAAATAGTCATATCTTATGATGTGTATCTGTATCATACAATTTAATCAAGTGATTGGATAAAATGTATTGAAGAACTTACATTTTTACAAACGTATAAAATATAAAACATATATTTACCAAATGTAGTGCAAACCAAGCTGTGTTTAAGTTATTACGTTTTACTTAGAAAATACAACTACACGATTGAGTGCTTATTAAAATAGGGGAAATAATCGAAACAAACAATTTGGCTGGCACAAATCCAAAATAGAGGGTAAAGGTATTGTTTTTGTTTTCTTTAACCAAAAGTTCGATATAAGGGGTTGGTCTAACAGCCAAGACGACAAATTGGGTTCTCCAAATCGGACACAACAAATAAAAGCCACTGACAATCAATTCGAGTAAATAACCAAACTCCTTAATTTATTAATGAAACCTTGTGGGGAGCTATTTCGGGAAGAAAAAAAATATAAATCAAGGTACATAGGTGAATGGGGAGAAAAAAACATTAATATAACAAATCTCAGTTACTTAATATCATTCTTAAATAGGTGGTATAAATTTCGTATAAATATCTGTAGTGAGCGAAAAATATTATTATATTGATACATATATTCGAGAAAATTACTGTAGAAAAAAATAAAATGAAATTATTTGTATCTGATCGGTAAACAATACAATAAAATTACCGTAATACGTTTCAGTGCAATTCCGACTTTAATTAGTTTGAAAATTTTGGCCAGTTAAATAATTCAATATTACATACAAAACGCTTGGGTGTAGTAGTAAGGGTACTAATTCCAATGTCTGAGCCCGAGCGTGACGTAAATGATGTAACTGTTTATATATTATATACTATATATATATTAGTGCGTTCAGTACAAAAACACGACGAGAACTAAAACAATTCCATCTTCTCCACTTCCCTCCCCCCTTCCGACACACACGGCGTGACAATGATGGTAATATATCGCATCGGGAAGTTTTCGAATGAAATTTCCGACGGAGTTACAAAAAAAAAAAAAAATCAAAAAAACTACCTACACTGCACAATAATCGCACGAAATACGTGCTCGGTGTTTTTTTCAACCAATTCCGTCTCTGGCCTAGTTGGCTCTTCGTATGCGGTGGTGGAGAGGAATTCAAAGTTTTGGGTCTATCACCCTGTGAATACCCGGAAGCATTTAATTATAAATACGAAGCTCCACGTCTCTCCCGTCAATAGAAAATATAGCGTAATTAATCACGCACCTGGACACGCGCCAGAGATAACGTATAACGCATACACTCGCGCGCACAGGTAGAAAACTTAGGGGCGAGTTAGACAAACAGTGCGGTGGTGGCAACACAGCGA